TCCAGCTGCAGAGCCGTACATGAGCTGTCGCTTTGGTGAAGAACGCACGCCGTAGCAGAAGGCCACCATGTTCTTGCGTTCATAAGTAAAGTTGGGGGCGGCAGTGGCACACAATTTTCGGAAGAGTGTACTGGCGTCCGGCACGTCCAACGCCACATCGACGTCAAACAAGGCCCCAGCAACCGCAAATCCGGCATCCCTCAGGGGCTGGGGGCAATTCAACTGCACCGTGTTGCCGTCCACCCGCATTGTCGCGGGGAGCTGCGAGGACGGCGTCGTGGTTTGGTGGAAGCAAAAACGGCCTTCGCCTCCATTGGAAGAATATCACATTGAAATGCTGAACTGTGCGTTTGTTGCATGCACAGAAAAAGGGGTCAAAGACAGGCAGAAAGAAAAGGGAGAGACCGAGAGGGAAACAACACTTAATAATCCTCTGGGCCGCTGGCCGGATTCTGAAATTATCCAAAAAGGACAGGAGAAAAAAAGCGGTAAATGGAGAGGCAATGAGTTCGCCGCAATGTTTTCCCAAAATATATGCACATTCCGTCAATCACTGCCGCGGGCTGCTGCGCACAGTTACAAATAAAAACACTTATCCCCCGCGAGGCGACAGGCCTTTGGGCTCCTCCAGCCAGAAGGTGGGGATCCCAAATTGGGTGGTTGTGAAAATAAAAAATAAAAAAACAATTTCGTCTGGCAGCTGCCGGCTCCCCGACTCCCTCAATCGCGGTCTCCCAAAAGACCGTGCGATAGAAGAGGAAAAAGTTGTGGAGAGATATCTTCGTTTGCGCGAGATATGAATTTATTTGGGCAGCCAGCCGCCCTCGCAGGCATTCTTCTCACAAAATCCCATGAAAATGAAAAAAAATTATGCGGCCCCTGTAGTGCGCAACAGCCTCCAGTGACGATGCGCCTCCGGTGAAAAAATAAAATAAAATGAAAAGAGGGTGTGGTGAGTGTGGCACTGCCGATCACAACGGCTCGCTGAAAGGAAAGGCACTCACTGTCTAGACCCCGTAGGCACACACATATAAAAATCGTTAAAATACTCCCAATATATTTCACCAGAACGAAATGCACTCTGTTCCCCAATTATTTCCCCAACTTTCTTCCCTATCCCTTTCCCCCAAGATCGTTGTGTTCTCATTTCTCCGATTTTACTTAAAAAACCACGTGTTAACACAAACTGGTATTGGTGTACCCTTCCGTCCCGGAACGCCACAATCTCTTTCTCAGCGTCGGTTTCATTATTGGGATTGACGGGACCACATCTCTGCCATTTTGATATCATTGTGCTGTCTGCGTGCTGCACATAAATCATCTCCCACGACAAACCCTGAGCAAATTCCTCCCAATTCGTAAAGAACCACGACAGGTGCTCAGTGAACTGCCGCACAGTGCTGGTTGTGGTGTGGTGAGCATGTGCCCTAGTCATCTGCAGTCCAGCCAGCGTCCTCCGCGGTGAATTCAAAAAGAAAAAGCCGTCCACCAGCGGAAAGGTTGGGGACGTCGGTATGTACAGCACCCGATACTTTAATTCTTGCAGGCGATCAATGAGCTTCAGTTCAGTTATTGCAGCTGCCTCGGTGGGGTAGCCATGAGGGTTTAACGTTAGCACCGAGGACCGTGGTTTGGAAGGCGATGGTGGCGGCAGCTCCTTGAGATCCCTCACTATGGAGGTGACAAAATTCTCAATCAAGAATACGCTCAAAGAATACTTTTCCAAGGCCTCAGATTGAAGAACATTCTTCATCCCCAATACGAGGAAAAAAATATCATGCGGACTCATTACCCTTGCCAAACGAGATAACGTTAAAACCCCAAGATACTCACATATAGGTGCATTAGCGAAGTCCTCAAATGGGCCATGTTCTCTTACGCGAACAATCTTCAAAAGTTTGTGAGACGGACCCTCGGATTGCCATTTTTCTCTCCCCCTGTGTAAAGTACTTTCCTCGATCCCCAATATTGATCCATTCCAAGGCCCTCTCAACATCTTGCGTGCGTTTTCCACATTCATCCGCATCGAAGATGTGACGTGGAATCGGTACCAAAAGAGACATGTGTCTTTTGACCATCCTCCAGTATCCCGCTTTTTTCTCTGGAGTCTCGTCACGCTTCATCCACGCACACATCGCCTTCACATCCGTCTCGTCGGGGCAATTCACGATGATTCGTTCGGCTTTTAATTGCCTCGCCCACTCATCATAGTTGCTTACCTTTGGGGATGACACCACAATCATGCCCCATCCGGTTGGGGGTGCAAAACCTGTGTCGGGCGGTGTTCCTTTCCTTGCCACATCGTAAATAATGTACCCTTTCATCCCACGCTCCCTTAAATTTCTCAAAGCCATGATGCATACGCCCTCATCGCCGTATTTTGTCACGGTTTTGGTGGTCTTGTCAAACACGTACGCATCACGTCCACCAAAACAGTGGACAACCACTTGGAGTTGCTCCACATCGTAGTGCAGCAGCTGGTAGAGGAGGTACGAGCCGGCAGCCATCGACTTCCCGATCCCGGGCGTCCCGATCAACAGACGCCGCACGGGTGAAGAATTGAGAGTCAAGTCAGAGTTGCTGAGCCACTCGGTGAGATCGTCAAGGGCGATCTGCCACACTCGATCCACCTCGCAGTTAACAAAAAAGTCCTTCGAGGAATCCTGTATCGTATACCACGAGTACAGTCATCCCCTGTCCGAGGTGAGCACCATCAGCCTGAGACGTGCTGCACCGGACTGCTGCGCACCGTCATCCTTTTCGAAAGTTTCGCCAACTTCCTTGTACGTCCATGACTGCTGTGGTTCCCCCTTCTTCACCTCCATTCCCGTCCCCTTTTTATTTCGCTCATCGCCGTCGGGAACTTCCACGACATGGTGCCACCTCGCATTGTACACAGACTCGTACAATCCCTCCATTTTCATCGCTGCACTCATCCTCATTGGGTTCCTCACTTCCTCAAGGGCTGCATCCAAAAACCGTTTAATGATGCCATGAACACTTTCTTTTACCTCCGGAGTGGCTAATGACCACCCCAGCAGCGCACTTACATGATTATAGTGGAGGTTCTTTATATCTTCCTCCATATTCATTTCCTCCCTCACAGCCCTCTCCATCCCCGCATAAGCATCGGTCATCTGCATTTCTTCCAACGCTCCCTTATCACGGATATACCTCGTGGGGTCCTTGAAAAACTCCTCCAGTAAGACACTCCGATTGGTGGCCACAACGCCCCTGCCGCCCAATTCCATCGTAAGAAAATCATTCAGCTTCTTTTCCTTGACGCGGACTCCTCCTTTAAACAGTACATCTACGATCGCAGTGGAAATGGTAAATTTCATTTCTGCCTCACGCCGTTCTACTTTTACTATCTGAGTGAGGGCTGCGTTTAGTTTTCCCCTTGCAATAAGAGTGACCGTATCCTTTCCTCATAGTCCCTCCACTGCTCGAGCGAGAACACGCCCTCGTGGTGAAGTTTGTACACCTGGTACTCTGTTAAATTAAAAATAATTCTAAGATGCCGCTGGTCTTGTACGTAAGCATCCGGCTCCTGAACAAACGTCTCCATAATAAAATTCCCATTTTTTTTCCACAACCCACTCATCGCCCAATTTGCTCCGGAGGAAATCGTTCAGCTTCATGTCGGTCCTGAGAGTGCCTCCCTCCAGCAGAATGTCCTTTACGCTGCTGCTCATGGTCCACCGTGGTTGCCGCGTTCCCTTCACCCCTCTGCGAGTCGCAGCGTCGGAACCATCACCGGAGCCACGGCGAGGTGCCATCACAACACCCGTGCGGTGAAGCATCCCACTCGCACCGCCCAACTGCGGCCAGCAGGTGCCGCTGGCTCCAAAGGACACTCGCGGCCGTTTCGCCCCGCAGTCCCAATGGCGTTGGGCGTGGCACTCGCACGGCGGGGCGGTCGGTGCGCCATGCAGCCGCACTGCAACGCCTGTCGGTGAAGCAGTCAAGGCCCACCGCCCCCGCAGCAACGCAACGTGCAATCGGCCACAACACCGCCACATTATCGCCCTTTTATATTTTATTTTATTTTATTCACGTTTTCTGTTTGTTTTCCCTATCACTAACACTGAAAATAAGTGTGCACCTTCACAAAAGAATAAAAAGAAAACACGATCCCACCGTCCCGCCGCGGGTCAACACTCTCCTCCACACACCACCATCACCGCGCAGGAAAACGCAGTCACATCGCAGAGTCAACACCACAATGTGCACCACACCATCGTGCAGTGAACGATGGGCGGGACGCGGCCATGCATCGCCCCGCTCCATTTTCCCACCACTCAAGTGTTGCGTGCCCGCACAAAGTAGCAAACAGAATCAGAGTGCACACAAACCCAATCAACACCCTCACTCGCTGAAGCACATTATTCGCATGGAGTGACAACATTTAGGGACACACCAGCAGTAGCAGGCTGCACGGAATTTCCCTGCCAACCCCGCGAAGAGACACAACAACTCTGCGGAGTCAAAGTGACAGCCCCTCGGTGCTGCCCGCAGTCCACATGGCAGGAAAAATCCCACGCACGCATAGTTCCAAATCCCTCGCTGCTCGAGTGCACATCAACTGAACATGTGAAAAAAATACTTGCGCGCAAGATGGCATTTAAATACGTGAAATATTCAGCCTGTTTTGTTTGATGGTGTTGGCGGGCATTCCCACACAATCCAATCAAAGTGACACGCCGGACAGAACGGCGTCAGTTAATAAATAAATAATTGCGTCAATGCAAAAGGCAGGTAAAATTTGGGTTTTACACCCCACTCCGGGGGCGACAGTGGCATGAGAGTGTGTATGTGTGCAGGACCTTTCGTGGGACGGTGCTGTCCAATCCCACCGTGCCTTGAGGCAAA